CGGCAGGACTGCAGACTGTGTGACCCCTTTCATCACAGCGGGTGGATATGTGCAGGGTGGGCCTGCCTCTGAGCATCCGTCCACAGGGCCACTCAGGCCAGCCCTGGGCCTGCTCACTGTCTGCTGGGCACCCCTGCTGGCTTCTTCTCCACCCTGAGCTCATTCCTCAGCAGGGCTGGGCCAGCAGCTCTTTGTCTGTGTGATGGCCTTGGCCCAGCTGAGACCTTGAAGGAGGCTGTCCTCAATCTGGCCTTCCTTGAGCCTACTGTCCTGGCTCCCTGTCCCATGCTGGCCTCAAGGCCATACTCCCTGAATGATTAAGCCCTCTGGTGCTCAGCAAGGGATTCTGGGTATGGTCTGGCCCAAAGTAGGGCATGAACAGATAACCTCTCCACTGGGGACAAGTCCTACTTTTAAAGGGCTGTAGCCTTTGTCCCTAACAAATAACAAAACTTCTTCCCTGGCCCCTGGAGAGAGATCCTGGAAACTCCCTCTTAGTCTCTAGGAGGAGTGCACAGGATCAGTCAGGCCCTATCCCTGGGCTTCTGAATCCTCCTTCCACCCTGCATTTCCTTGCTCAAGAGCATTTGGTTGAGTCCCTGTTTGCTCAGATCCCAAGGCCTCCAGGGCCACCCCCAACTGCTTTCCCTACTTACAGACTCCCCTCCTGAGGACGCCTTCCACACTCTCGACAGCCTACTTTTCTCCTGACCATACTTCTCTTTCTCCCTATAGGTCCCACTCCGCTCCAGGCCATCCCCCAAGGCCCAGGTCCACGTCTACCTCCTCCGGGAGGCACAAATGCATGGAAAGGCATAAAAAAGGGGAAACTCTCACAACTGGCCTAGAATGAAGACTCCTCCAAAACCCAGAAACCTCTGTGGGCTGATGTGGTCTGATTTATCCAGAACAATTTCATGCAGGAGGCAAAACTGGAACAGGGCCATAAAAGAGGGGGAAGATTTGAGCAAGAAAAGGGGAGGATATATGAGGAAAGAGAAATGGGGTGAGCAGAAGACTCCCGCAACAGTCTTTTCTGTCTAAGGTCAACGGCAGGAAGACAGTCACTCTTGAGGTCTCAGTCTCAGGAGGAGCTGGGGAAAGCCAACAGAGTCCCTGCCCTCCATCTCCCACCCCTAAGAAACCCAAGAAGGAAGCTGTTGGGCCATCTTCAAGCACAGTTCTTATCTGCCAGGCCTGCCAGTTCTCTGCCTGCTTCCAGATGTGATACCCCTTCATGAGGCCATGCCACATCTGTAGAGTACTTTTCAAGGTCACCAATCGCTGTCATTATATGACCTGATTTCTTATATTTTGGCTCTGAGCACAGCTCTACAGTGTTAGTTGATCAGGTATATGACGCCCAGCTTTACAGAGGAAGAAATGGAAGCTGGAAGAGAATCATTTCGGGTGAATTACACCATGCTCTGTGTGCAAAGCAGAAGGGCTCCTGGGTGACTAGAGGAATAAGCTTTAGGATTTCTGCCACCTGTTTTACCTCTCAGGGTTTTTTTTTTTTTTTTTTTTCCTGTTTATATTCTAGATCAGTGTTTGGCAAACTTTTTCTGTAAAAAGCCAGATAGGAAATATTTTAGGCTTTGCCAGCAATAGGGTCCACACGGCAAGCAACTGCAGCACAAATGCAGCCACAGACAGGGGGCCAATGAATGGGTGTGGCTGCGTTCTAATAAAACTTTATTGGCAAAAACATGGACTTGGTCTGTGGATCAGTTTGCCAATCCTTCAAATCCTAGCCATGGCCTGGATCATGGTGGTGGTACTATAGGGTGGGCGGACCTGCCTAGATCTTTTGAAGTCTGCCCACCCCGGCCTTGAAAGTATAGGCTGCCTGCAGTCCCAGCTCCCTGCCTCCTGCCCCACATGGAGTGAGCCAGGGGAGACCCATGTGGGAGGCCTGGGTGGGAACCCCATCTAGATATAGATAGGGGCCTCTTTCCAAGGAACTTTCCCAGTTGTCACCAAGAAAAGCCTTCACCTCTAGAATAATCATTTCTTTAAAAAAAAAGATGCACAAATAACCAAAAATACATATAGGTTCACCTCACAGAGCACGCTGTCCCTTCCCAGTGGACCTGCTACCTGGAGACAGGAAACGAGGACTGGAGGACTTCTGGCCCCGTTTATTGTATGGGTGCCTATTTTTGTCCTGAGGGAGGAAGCACTTGGGGGTGGGAAGGTGACTGGGAGGGAAAGGGGCTCCCCTTCATAAGTCCCCCTCCTTGATGACTTTATAGTATCTTGGATCAGCAGGGACAGGGGGCGGGGGGCACTACAAACCTGTCTGATTAAAAAAGAAAAAGTCGTATTTCTTTCTCTGTCAAAGCTGTCAGTAGAGGCTTTTCTCTTTTTATCTTTCCATTTTTATTGCCTTCAGCTGTAGAGAGAAAAACAGAGATATCCACTTTCTTGTTCTTGCTTATTAAGGAAATGACATTCACCTCTAACTTGCTGTACGTGACTACCGTCTCCTGGAATCAGAAAATGTTTTTCCAGCATCTCCTCCTCCTCATCCTCCCTCCTTAGAAAGAGGTACCAGAGGAGTCAGGCTGTCGGGATTCCAATCCCCGCACTCCCAACTGTGTGATGTGAGGCAAGGTATTTGATCTCAGTTCTCCAATCCGTGAAATAATAATAAAATAAACATCTCCCGGGGCACGTGTGAGACTTCAGAGACGGGATATGCTGCTGCGGCTCAGACAGTGCCCATCATGGCCACCTCTGAGGTGGAGGCACAAGTTCTGGACTAGGATCTGGTGGGGTCCCTCTGGGGCAGAGGCAAGTCACTCAACCCGTATCTAATGGGCCCCTGGGTGTGCCCCAGGGGGACGTACACTCTACTGGGAGAATGCAGACACACAAAAAATAAAGCATGCCTGCTATAGGCTCTGGGGAGAAGAATCCAGTGACAAGGGGCAGAGGGAGCGTCACAAGGCCTTACTGAGAAGGTTACATCTGACCAAAGACATGGGTCTGTAAAGTGAGGTCTGTAACAGCACGTGCTCCATGGGACAACGTGAGGGTAAGACTAGAAAAAGCAAGGACCCTCTTAGTTCTTGGAACGCGGAAAGCACTCTGCGAATGCTTGCTAGTGTCACTGCTGGTGAATTATGCTCCTTGCTGAATTCTCACTAAGGGGACATGAGGAGAATGCCACATCCCTGTCTAGAGGACAGGTGCCAGCCCCTGCACTGAAACGCAGTCCATCATGGCAATAAAACAGCACCTGGGATGTGTCCTGTCTTAAAGACACTGTCTTACAGACGATGCCTATGAGAGACGCCTGATCCGTACTGGTGGCCTGAGTGCATAAGGCCAGGCCTCACCTCTACAAGACCACAGGGTGACATGAAGCCATGCTTGCAGGGTGCACAGGGCCTGGGACGGCAAGGCAGGGCACAGCTTTCAGGTTTTCTGTTCCTGGGCATCTTGGGGCACTTTAGTAATCCTCATGCCTTTGAGTTAGCATGTCCTGGAAGCTTCCAGGAGACTTGGCAACAGCTGACACAGCCCTGGGGAACAATAAAGTGACTCCTTCCCATCTGGAGGGCTGGGAACCCAGCTACCACAGCTTCAGCCCCACTGTGGGGCAGCCCCAGCCCGGGTCCCGGCCCAGGATCCCCGTTACCGAACAGCAACAGCGCCACCTGCTGGGCAGCCAGGCCATTCCTCATCGGCCACCATTTTCACTCCTCTGGGAGTAGGGGACACTTGGGTGTCATTTTATGGAGCCGTGATTTTCATTTTGAAAGCTCATTTGTCCCTCAGATTCTTTAGAGAGTTTGCGGGGGGGGATCTCTCTGTCCTTGTCTGGGACTAAGCAGAGGAACGAGGCTGTCTCTCTCCCTTCAGCCGTCTCCCGTGTGAAGGCTGGACTTGGACGCAGGCTCATGAGGCCAGAAAGCCACTTCCCGTCCCCGGGGTCTTCTGGGGAGCCTCAATGAGGAGTTCTTTGGGCACATTCCTAAGGCCAGAAGTCCCACTTGACCTAGTGGCATCCACTGTTCAGCGTGGAAGCTAACCCCCTTCACAGCAATGGGCTCCCGAGTCGCACTTCTGGACAAGGCCAGCAACATGGGGGCAGGGGAGCTGGCCCTGCTGGGTCGGAGCCATCTAATGACTAACAGCAACAGACACAGAATTTGGTTTTGAAATTTCCTAACAGGCAAAAAGAGAAGTCGGTTGGGCTACGCAACCCCTATTGTCAGACCAAACACAGCAGATAGAACGTTTGTCTGGGAGAATTCAAGGATAATGACCAAAATGCGACCTGACAGAAAGCCCTGGGCAGGACAACGGATCATTCCACAAACAATTTCCTTCAAGGGGGTGTGTCTAAGGCTTAAAAGCACAGGGCAGTGTGTGGGACAGGGAGGTGGCATTTCCGCAGGAGGCGGAGGGCCCCGTGCCTGGGAACCTGAGGAAACCTAATGCTCACCTGGGGGCAGGGAGGACGTGCCTGTCAGACCGTCTTTCTTACGTCGTGCGGAGTTCACACACATGGAGAAACTCCTCCTCAAGTCACACCTCAGGGTAAAGGGGTCCCGGGGAGTGGTGTGGGGGGGCGGCTCAGACCAGAGATGAGGTGAAGGATATGCAATTTGCCTTCACGTGGAATTTGGTCAGGTTAACTCAAACTTAGAAAGTTAACTCAGAATTAGTAAGTTAACTCGGCTTAGACTATGGATTACAGATTACGCAGCTCCATCTCCCACCAGCCAGCCCCCATCCTTCCACACTTCGTAACTCCCCCAGCCCCACCGCTGTGGGTGTCCCCCTGAAGCCCTGGTGTGGAGAATGTGACCCGCATCCCCCACCAACTCCATGGGAAGGCAGCCCTCCCAGCCGGTGCCGCACCCTCCTGGAAGCAGCCTGTTCCCAGGGGCCCGAGGGGAGGGGCGGGTCCTCTAGAGGAATGTCCATGCCTTGGCCTCGCGGGGACATGTGGCCAAACAGGACATATTTTAGGACACGTGGTCAAACAGACCCTACACCTTAGTGTGGCTGCTTTTTTCTTTTTTGAGATAGAGTCTTGCTCTGTCGCCCAGGCTGGAGTGCAGCGGCACAATCTCGGCTCACTGCAACCTCCGCCCCCATGTTGCACCTTCCCATCCTCTCCCTTGCTGCGGGAAGGAAGGGCCTGGGCACTGAGTGGGGTCATTTTCAGGACAATGTGCATGTGCGGCGCTGAGCAGGAGGCATGGCGGGTGAAGACGCCTTTGGCTACTGGCGCTGGGATCCGGGGACTTCCCACAGCAAGCGCCTGACTGGAGCCTGCAGAGCGGTGCGCTGGTGCCCTCTAGTGGGAGGACACCGCCATGCAGCCACCTGTCCTGGCCTCGGCTCCAGCAGGCCCTGACCCTGGGGCCACATTCAGAGCAGGACTGTTAATGATGGGGCTGGACTGCCCACATCACTGCCAGCGTGGCAGCCTGGCCAACCCCTCCACTCCTGTGATAGAGATCGCCAAAAATGCCACCAGTGCACCAGCCTCGTGGATGGCATTTGGGGTTTCCCTGGAACCACAGTGTGAGCCCAAGTGTTTCTCAGCGTCTGCCTTGGCCTATGGCTTCAATACTCAGAACCATGACTGAACCCTGAATCCATGGCCCCGCACTCAGAGCCTGCGGCTGTCGCCCCTCCCCCTCTTCAGAGTTCCTGGAGAGCGATGCCGGTCTCAACTCTCCTGACGCTGCCGCCGTGTGGATGCCGTAAAACCTGGCTACTGGTTAGCTCCTAGCCCAGGGTACCTGCTCCTCTCCCCCAGCCACCAGTGTGGGAAGGAAGACCTTGGGGACCGTTCACACCAGCAATAGACTCTTTACTTAACTGGCTCGCTAAATGCCTTTTCAGAGTGCAGAAGCATTCCTGGCAGCAGGGTTCCCAGAGGTATGGTGTGAGTCCTGGACACAGACACCTACTGTCTACCCTGTTGCCCTACATCCTTGGGTGATCTCCAAGGGCCTGAGTCCAGCAGCGCTAGAGATGAAGGTCCCTGAGGTCAGCAATGCAGTGAGACTCACCCCTGGATTCATTGCCCCCTGTGGAAACATAGCCAGATGGGGCCATCAGGGATAGGGGCCTTGGCTTTGGCTGGAGAGGAGCTTGGCCAGACACCTAGGTGTCAGCATCTGACCCACACTGGAGGCATCACCTCTTAAGACCACTCACTGCGGCATGTGCTCCATGTGTGACCCACTGAGAGATAAGCTGGGGCTCCCAGGAGATCTTCACCAGGCATTCAGTGTGGGGTCCACTGGGGCCCTCTGCTTTGTCGTCAGCCACTATTCACGCCCCAGACTGCAGGAGCTGCAGCAGCACAGGGGAGGAAGGTGGGGTGTGCTGGGAGAGGACCAGACTTCGCCCTGCAGGGACTGTGACCTGGGCAAGGCACCAGCACTTTGTCGGAGTTCACAGCTTTGAATACGGTATGTAATCTGCGCACGTCTCAGTTCCTGTTAGGCTGTGCTTCTCCTGGGGAGCTGTATCTTATGCAATCAATTCTCTCTCTAAAAGGCTGGGGCAGAGCACTTGTCCATGAAGATGAGTTGTGAGCAAGAAAAGAGGAAGATTTGGCGCACCTGGATCTCACAGAACAACTGTGAGCTCCCCTTCTTCCCGCTTGCCTGCAGGATAGTCACGCCCTGCAGTTGGCGAGGGAGGGGAGGGGAGGCATGTGACTAGTTCTGTCCAATGGGCTCTAAGTGGAGCCGATCTTTCTGGCCCAAACCATTTAAGACACAGAGCAGGGGTGTCCAATCTTTTGGCTTCCCTGGGCCACACCAAAAGAAGAATTGTCTTGGGCCACACATAAAATACGCTAACGATAGCTGATGAGCTTAAAAATAATTGTAAAATATCTCATAATATTTTAAGAAAGTTCAGTTTGTTTTGGGCCATATTCAAAGCCATGCTGGGCCACACTCTCTTTGCCCCTGCCAGGGCCACCTGGGAACCATGGATTGAGATGGCAGGGCCACAGAACGCAATCCACCTGGACCTTGGAGTCCCCAAGGAGCTGTTCTGGAGACCAGCTGGGCCCTCAGCAGAATGTCAGGAAGTTAGAAATAAAATTCTGTGTGTGATGCTGCTGAGATGTGGGGGTTTGTTTGGTATCATGTCATGGCCTATAGTGTCTAATACAGGAGGTGATGGAAAAATCCTGTTTTCTTTGAAAAAAAAAATGCGCCCCAGAAACCACACCACGAAGAGCATAACCAGGTTCATATTGAGGTTCTGCTGGGAACTGGTGGGAGAAACTCGTAGCCAGGGGGACAGACTGAAAGTCAGGACAGACACAAATCCTACCTTTCTTCCTTTCTTTTACGCTCCAGACAACACAACAGCGCACCTAGAAGGCAGGTTCTTCAGCAGCATTCAGTCTAGAGCCCCTGGTGCAGGGGCTATGAGGATGAAGGAAATGGCCCAGCCCTCAGGCACCCTGGAATCTAGGAATGGAGCCTGGCAGTTACATAAGCAGGTGCGGTGTGGTGGGAGCCATGGAAACGGATGGGGGCAGGGGCTCTGGGGAAATGGTGGATGGATGCTGGACTCTGTCCTGTGCATCTGAATGGGCATGATGGGAGGTGTCCTGAGCCAGGACAAGAACAGGCAGAGAACAGGAGAGTGAGATTCTAGGCAGAGGGAATCCCCTGCCCATGAGAAAGCAAGGAGAAATGGAAGAACAGATCGGGGGAGGGAGTGGCAGGGCCACAGAATGGCAGGGGAGCCTAGGACAGAGGTCAGGTGAGGGTGCTGGGAACATCATAAAGCCTCCTGCTTACTAAGGAGTCTGAACAGGGACAGAAGAGGCCGGAGATGGGGGCCTGGGCCTCTGTGGGTTGAGAAGATGCTGGGTTCACAGCTGGTAGGATCTTTACGCCCATCTTCTGGGATGCAGAAATGGAGGGCAGGTGGGCAGAGGGCTTCAGGCCAACCTCCCTTTGTCACCCTCTTTCCTTCTTGCCTTCAGGTGGGGAGGGGAGGCCAACCCTGATTTTTGTCTAAGAAAGTCTCTAGGAAGCCCACCTATCTCTGTACAGGCTCAAGACTCCCATAGGAGGCTGGAGGTCCCCAGGCTAGAGGTGGGCTTTCCCTCCCATTTGGGGGTCTTCAGCTAGATGCACAATATCTCCTAGGGGAATCTGGAAGTAGGAGGATGTTTTTGGTGGTCATTATGCACCCCCCACTTCTCCAGTGACTGCCATTCAGTGGTTCAGGCCAGGAGTCCTAATATCCCACATTGTATTGGACACGCCCATACGATTAAGATTTGTCTCCACCCCATATCCTAATAGCTAGGCCAGCTGACCCGCAGGAATCAAGGCCAGGCGAGTGAGCCAGCCAGCCCTGTCTATGAGGGGTTTTGAAGAATGCTAGAAAAACTCAGAAAAATCATCCCATTATGCTCTCACGGGACAGCGCATTCCTCAAACACCAGAGGTCTGTGTTTGTGGATCAAGAAGCCTGTCCACCTTGTCCTAAGGGTACCCATGTGAACTGCAGATACCCCAAGGAGCGGTCAAGCCAGGAGCGTTATCAGCCAGGACTTAAGGTTTTCAACTCTTGCTGATACTCGGAATTTCCTAAAATGCTTTAAAAATGAAGATTCTAGTGGGACACAGTGGCTGACACCTGTAATCCCAGCGCTTTGGGAGGCCGAGGTAGGCAGATCACTTGAGGTCAGGAGTTTGAGACCAGCCTGGCCAAGATGGTGAAACCCTGTCTCTACTAAAAATACAAAAATTAGCCAGGCATGGTGATGGGCACCTGTGGTCCAGCTACTTGGTTGGCTGAGGCAGGAGAGTCGCTTGTACCTGGGAGGCAGAGGTTGAAGTGATCCAAGATTGTGCCACTGCACTCCAGCCTGGATGCCAAAGAGAGACTCTGTCTCAAAAAAAAAAAAAAAAACAGAAAGAAAGAAAGAAATGCAGATTCCTGAGTGTGATTCAATGAGTGTGTGAGTGTGGTCCCCAGCCTCCGGGAGCCCCACGATTCCTGCTTTTGGGGATCCACACCTCAGTGTAGGCCCTTCCCGTATTGTACCAGGTTTGGTCTGTGCAAATGACATACAGCAAATGGCAGCATGAAGCTCTGTTGCTTCTGAGATCAGGCTATAGAAGAGTATGACTTCCGTGAGGGAATCTCTCTCTCTCCCCATCAGCACTTGCTTTGGGGAAAGCCAGCTGCCATATTCTGAGGGCACTCAGCAGCTTATGCAGAAGTTCTGGTGGCAGGGAAGCCAAGGAGGAACCCAGGCCTCCTACCCCCCCAGCCTCGAAGGAACTAAGGCCTCCCACCCTCAGCCACAGGAGGGGGTCTTCCAGCCGAGGTGCGCCTTCTGATGGCGGCATCCCTGGCCCTCAGCTTGACTGTAAGCTCATGAGAGACCTTGAGCCAGAACCACCAGCTAAGCTGCTCCCAGAAAGTTTGTAGGTAGGTCATATCTGTTTGTTGTTTTGAGCTGCTAAGTTTTGAGCAATTTGTCACACAATGGTAAACGAGGAATACAGTGAGCAGACCATGTAGATTTCAGGACTTCAGCAGCTCCGAGGTGCAGCTGAGCTCCAGCACTGTGGCCTCAGACTCATCTGCTGATAGTTCACTGAGGACAAAGCACATCCAAAGTATGTGTAATGGAAACATGATGTGTGTGTGTGCACGTGCGTTCGTGTGGTATATTTAAGTATGTGTGTGTAGGATGTGGGCGGATGTGTGATATGTACTTGCGTGTGCACGTACATGTGTGGTGTGTGGTATGTATACTGTGTAAGTGTACGTGTATGCGGTATGGAATGTGTTTGATGTGTGTGGTTCGTGTACATGTGTGTGTACACATGTGTGATAGATGGTGTGTAATGAGTGTGTGTGTGCATGGTTATCAAAGCCCTTCTGCTCCAGACTGACAGTGGAGACGGTGGGTGAAGGCCTCCACTACTAGCAGCCCTAAGAGCTTAGTACCACATGAGGGCCCTGGAGAGCCTGGAATGGTCACTGATTTACTGTTCCTTGAAAAAAAAGAAAAGAAAACCCTAGAATGCGAAACCTTAGAGGGGCCTTGGTCTGATGATACTCAATATTTGTTTAGCAGTGGAATTATTTCTCCACGTGAAACCCTGCTAGAATCCTGATTTAGAGACACCGGCCAAGTGGTCTGGGTGGGCCCAAGTGGTCTGGGGGCCCCTGTAGCTTGCTGCTTCCGCCTCCCAACTCCCCCCAGCAGCACCCAGGGGCATCCCAGGAGAGCCCTGAGGGTTTCACAGTTTGCAAATCTGTGATCTAATACAACTGTGTCATTTTGCTGATGAGTAAACTGAGGCCCACAGAGGAGAGGTCACACGCATGGCTCTGGCAGATGTCCAGAAGTGGATTCTTCTGACCTTTAGTCCAATCTGTCTCCACTGCCTGGCAGGCCGCACAAAGAAAGAATCAACCAGGGTCTGGGTAACCCACGAACCAAGGTTCATCATCCAAGCTGCTGCCCAGCAGAAATGCCCTCTTCACCAAGAAACCACTCACCTGGGGGTTGGGGCAGGAAATCCCCCCCTCCTCCCTCTTGTTAGCAGAGGTGGCCACCATAGCCTGGTCCACCCTCAGAAGGTGGGGCTTGACTGGCAGTGTTGAGTGCTGGGAATAATTACAGCAGAGACCAGCATAGCACCTACTGCGTGCTGGGCATCATCCTCAGTACCTCAAGTGAATGAATGTGCTTGATCTTCCCAGACACTCTATAAAGTAGACATGGTCATTTCTCTCATCTCACAGAGGAGGAAACTGAGGTAAAGTGAGAGTATGTAACTAGCCCAAGACTTCCGGGTTAGTCAGTGGCAGGGCTGGGATTCCATAGGGTCCACGCCTGGGTCCAGACACCAAGCTCTTGACCCCCAATCTCCCACCCAGCCAGTAGCCCAGCTTGCCCTTCTCTTCTGAGCAGGAACCAAAGGTCTTCCATTTTGTACCCTAGAGGAGCAAAGAAACAGTTCCCAAACAACACAAGGTGTCAGATCTGCTACTTTTCCAGCCATGACTCCCAAGCTTCTGGCTCAAAGGGGGGACCAAGCAGTCAACACCCCACCTAGTGCGGGGGGGGCGTCTGTTTTCTCACCTAGATCAGGGTGTCTCAAATGGACTTCTATCAATGATGAATGCTCTTGACATTTAGAAACGGAGTGATGGTGGTCATTTCCGAGTACTTGACCCTTTTATCTCTTGTGTCAAGGCTGGCTTTACATTAGCAGTGATAATTTAATATAGATCCACCCCACAGGGTGTTTCATGACCTGATACTCTGCCTGTGACTTATACATCACAGCCTCGGTCCTATCGATTGATTCTTTCTCCTGTCAAATTTATAGGAAAGTGCAAGAAATGTACAAAGAACATCCACGTCCTCCTCGCTCAGATTCCCCAACTGTTAACACCTCCCCACGTTTGCTGTCTCTCTCCCTCTGTGTCTACATACCATTATCATCAATCTCTTTCTAAACCATTTGAGGAGATGTTGCAGACACAAGGCCCATATCCCTCAAACATCATAGTGTGTATTTCTCAAAGTCAAGCATACTCGCCCACATGACCATCACACTGCCTCCAAGTCAGGAAACTGACATCGAAGCAAAACCACCACCCCACCCACAGATCCAATCACATTCTCCAACTGTCCCAACAAGGTTAGGATTTCCTTCTGGTCCAGGATTTCAGCAAGGAACACATTTTGTAATTAGTCATTTGCCTCTTCAGTCTCCTGCAATCTGGAAGACTTCCTCAGTCTTTCCCTGTCTCTTGTGTCCAAGCAGTTATAGAGAGTGGTCCTTACATTGATTTCTAAATAACCAGACTCGGGCTGTGCTTTCTTGGAAGGAAAACCCAAGAAATGATGTTGCGTTTTCTGTGTGGCACATCAGGGGCATATGGTGTCCACCCATCTCATCACTAATGATGTTATCTTGATCACATGGTCACGTTGGGGCCTGCCACGTTTCTCCACAATAAAGTCATCATATTTCTCTTTGTAATGAGGTGATCTCTATGTGTGCTCCAGTTCATTGCCTGGAGAGTTTCCAGTTTGCAACACAGGGAGGGCAGTG